CCAATACACAAACACATCAACTGAATGCATTTCATCTACACAACCTGCATCTCACAGCCTGTTTCGTTAAAAAAAAAACATGATAAATAGGGCAATTTATCTAAAAATAATGAATATCTTTGGGCTACAACTAATGAATAGAATAGAATTGGAGGATGAAACCCTCTTTAATGGGCACACATACATGCACAGCACACAGCACACACAGGGACATTTGACCTCTGTATTTAACCCATCCTAGTACTAGGAGCAGTGTAATGCTCTAGTACTGACTATTTTCATTACCAAATCTGTGCCTAAAAAATTACTTAAAAGATACATTGATTTCCAAAATTGTTGCCAATTAATATTATGCCAACACATCGTTCCAGCTTATGATATGATTAATTGGTGATAAAGATTGTTATCAATTAGTTTTGTTGTGGGTTCGACTCATCAAATTACTACAGCAGAACTGTCTTTTAGTTTATATAATTAAAAAAATGTTTATATTACAGCAGTATTACATTTTCTAAAGACGAAAGCAGATCTTCAGACCTCAGTTCTGTTTTATTTAACTTCTAAGATGTGTTCAAATAAAAAAAGCTTGAACAACAGTTGTCATGGTAAAAGAGAGGTTATTAGTGTGTCCTCAAATAAAATTGAAAATGTCCTTAATGAAAAAGGTTTGGTTTAATTAAAACAGATATGAGACAAGTCTTAGGTATATTTCAATGTAGTCTGAAGCTGCTTTAATACGTATAATCAACACATTCTGAGTTCCTGCAGTAGAGGTAGGTGTGAAGATAGCCTCTGACATTTCTGGAGCTAAAACAAGTTCTTAGAATAACCTGACGTGCCTAAAAATGACGGAGGATGATTCAGAAGGTGAGGCAGAGGCTCAACTAAATATAACGGTTACTGTCCAATCTCTACTGGCATTGTGTGAACACTTGTGATGTGTGAGTCACAGTGATTTGGACTGGCGAGTGTCATACGCAGACAATTTTCAGGCAGCGCTACGGTCTCTCTGTTAGATGATGCTCGCTTTATAAGAGTTGTACTACAAATGATGCTAGAAATAAGGATGTTTATTTGTATTTGTTCATTGTCATTCACTCAAACGTATACAATCAACTCTAAAAAGAGATTACAGACAACTTGAGCTCGGAACAAAAGGCGAACAACAACTTCTAGGGAGATTTACTATTACATTTTTAACCCTTGCAATGTCACAACATTATATTTGTGCTATACTGTTGGATAAACTTGTCATTAACTTTTTCACACTAGCATTTGTATTAAGAGATATATTTTAATTGATTTATGTCTTCCAAACTTATCTGACATCCTATTCGTATTATGTTCACTTGATATGAGCTGTGTGTCCTGTATATTTCATTGTACTATTGAACCTGTGTTAACCCACAAATACTTTTAACAATGTAAAACCGAACTACAACATGTCCTACAAGTGTGTTTAACTGACGGGTGTTTTCTAAAGCCTCTGAAGTAATTTGTGGTTCAAGAATCTTTTTATAAACCATGTTTCAACTCCCAACCAAAGTAATATGATGAGAAACAGCTAATAACCGCCATTGCATCATGATGTCACTATTAGTGAACGGTTCATGACATGAAACATTCATGCAGATGTGAATGGCCACCATGACAGTTTTTGCACACATTCTTTTATTAAAAAAACGATTCAACACCTACAGTTAACTGTTTTACACACAATTTAACACTGGTGTGAATCCACCTCCTCTTATTAAAACTGTACGAGGGCTTAATTTACAAGGCAAAGACCAATGTGAACATTTTCCATTTCTTGATGAGTTACATAAAGAAAATATGAACCCATGAAATATGGTATAAATTTGTACACTTTTACCGGCTGGCAGCAGTAGGTTGCCTTTCACAGCATACAAGACAATAACCCGTGGACAAAGGCATAAACATTAAACCACTCCCTGCTACTTTTAGAGCCCCCAATTATTTTTGAAATGTGTGTGTGTGGACAGTGGGGGGAACATTTCATTGATTTACACCATCAGACGTTTTAAACATCATAATAATATCCAGCTACACAGAGACTGTTAATGAATGTGTTGTTGCTCAAGGCCAATGGAAAAGAGAATAAGAAGCTTAATTACGCTGAGCTTAGAACTCGGTTAATTCATCTAATAAAGAGTATTGTTGCAAGCGTCTGCTCACCATAACATGCTGGGTTTATTTATACTAGCTGAGCTTTGAAGTACGCCGACAAAAGAACAGTAAAAAGTAAATTAATAAAAGCAACACAATTGGCCAGTGTGTTAATTATTCAGAACCTCTTCATTATTCGTGTCTGTTTCCACTGCACCAGGTTAACTGCTCTGAAGTCTTTGTATCTGACACTAGATCCAACACACACACAGTTGTTGTCTTGTTTTCTCTCTTCATCTTCAAATTACGCTAGACGCTAAAAGAGTTGTTTTCTTCATGTCAACCCCCCCCCCCCCACCTTTCTCTCCCCTGTTCTCTTTTTAACTTTTACATAACAACAGCATGCCCACTTGGCACCTACAAGCAAAACACACACAACACACATTCAAACACACACTCACACACACACACACACAAACACAGACATTAGATACAGTAGGCGTCTTTACTCATTTAGTCTTCTTGTCTCCTAGTAACTGAAGTTGGTGCAGCAGTAGAGCAGCTGCCGCCTGTTTAATTATCAGTCAGTCAGTCAGTCAGTCAGTCAGTCAGTCAGTCAGTCAGTCAGTCAGTCAGTCTGTCTGTCTGTCTGTCAGTCGGTCAGTCAGTCTGTCACAATGTCCACATTAGTCTAGATTAATTTGGAAATGAATCCCTTTCAAAACAAACCCAACTGTCATGTGACAAGCTCTTAACAAACATGGCAGATATACACATGTTGATAAAGAGATATGCTTCCATGTGTGTACAGCATGGTTTGGTGAGTATGAATATTATGTGAATGACAAGTGATGTCATCATCAAAACACTTTATGTATTGATTTGTTGTCTTTAATATTATCTTTTTGTTTGTAGTTGTGGAGACCGAAACCATTCCCCGGCTTTTTACCTCAGAACGATTTAATAGATTCAAATAGATTCAAAAGCTGAATACATAATAATCCAGCGCAATTTAACCTCATTGATAAAAGCCTCAATGCTTAAAATGATTCTCATTATTCTGTACAATGCTGTTTTAGGGACATATCAAGTTAATAAACCCAGCTACTATGACCTACTTACACACACTACCTACTGGTAAACAAAAGACTTCTAATGGTAGCTGTATCTTTTGTTCAATCTAAACAAATACCGTACATCTTTCTTAAACTCTCTCTGTATATATACAATGACATTTTTGATTACATATAATGCCTTTTTATGACATATCATACCATTATATTGTATTACCGTGACATTGTAATTACTTTTAGTTAACGATGATGATGATATAGATTATGACCTTTTGTATGACATACAATACTGTGGCATTTTTATTACTTTTTTTGTGCAATACTATACAAAGGCATTTTGCATTACTTTAAATGAAATACATACTAACTATGACTTTTTAATGAAATAGCCAAGTATGATTTTTGAAAAACCATACTTTTGGATGACATACTATTCTTTGACATTTTCTGACTTGTTATACTATGAGATATGTTTTGCTCTCATACAGTTCACAATGAAAATATGTTAATAAACTATTAAATATAATAGTTTTGACCTTCATGTTTTGAAAGGATCTATCCATTTCAACACAAAACCACACCACCATCCCACACTTTTTCCCAGAGGCTTCCTGCTGACGTGTTGAACCTCTCACTGTCTCCCACTCTGAGCTCACATGACCAAAACAGCGCTGAAGCCTTTTGGGAAACCCAGACAACACTGTCCAAAATGTGACTCCATCCTCCAGACTCTGTCTCACATCCTCCCACTCAAACATTACACTCCGGCGGGCTGCAGCTCACCTGTCACACTCTCTCAGCAGGGGGTCACAGCCACGACTCGTCTGATGTCACTGGGTCACCATGTTAGTCATGCGGTGCCAAACTGTAGCCAGTCCAGAGGGGTAAGCCGGCTTGGCGACAGCTATCTGGCTATGACGCTTCCTGACAGTGAATGCTCCATTGTGTCTCAAAAAACAATCTGTGCCTACAGAGCTGAATATCCACAACACATGCACGTACGTTTATTTTCTCGCTTTTTTTTCTGTATCTGTTTATGAATTCCTTCCTTTCTCCATGAGAGAGACAATATGTAGCTTTTCCTGTCTCTCCATATTCAAAGGTGGAGCAGACAGTTCCTAATGAAGCTCTTTTTATCACAGTGTTCTCAGCACAAGGGCACTCAGTGACAGCGGTGAAGAAACATTTATTTTCTCCCAAAAATCCCCTTTCCAGCTGAAGAAAAATAACGGCACCATGAAATGGTGATGCAATAATCCTATTTCATTATCAAGCTGCAAATGTCCTCCACAACCAATGATAAAAATGAGATTTATAGTGAAGTGTTGAATTTCCATTTCAGCATCTTTATGAGTCCCCTGAGCTAACGACGTTTATTACTGCTCCTTTATGACAATAATAACGTGTTTAATGAGATCAGATATGATACACACTCTATATGGCCTGGTCCTCCCACTCCAAGAGGCATGCGTTTCATTAAATGTTCCTTTCTTTTAACATTGAGCCAGGACAATATGATAATTACAATGTGTGGACTGAAGCATCTCCCACCTCTAAAGTCATTCATTATCCATCTCCCTAGGACTCTATCTGTGCATCCATGTGTGTGTGTGTGTGTGTGTGTGTGTGTGTGTGTGTGTGTGTGTGTGTGTGTGTGTGTGTGTGTGTGTGTGTGTGTGTGTGTGTGTGTGTCAGAGCCTTCGTGGCTGCACTTCAGACACAAGACCTGCAGACAAAGCACCATTCATCAAGCCTT